TGTAAGTTGTATAGCTTCTGCTTATTTTTATATGTTGAGGAGGAAAAATGAAGTGTAGTAATTATAATGTATCAGGAAGGAATTAATTACATCATATCATTTTACATAATGTAATTATAACTTTAATTTGGTGGAATCTGAGCTGTAAAATAATAGTGCAGTGAAAACTGATTTATTGTCAATCTACTAGAAAACAGATTTTTAGAACTTCAGTCATAAAAAGAGATCTATAGTAAAACGTCTTTGAATAGTTAAAGAAAAGTTTCAGGCTTTAATGCTGTAGAAATGTTACAGAAAGAATTAAGTAAGTTTGGATTCCAATCCTGGCCATCCCCCATAGTAGCTGTGTGATTTTATTTATTTACTTTTTTAAGTCAGGGTTTTCATGTTAAGGATCCCAGTTTCCTTATCTGTACAGTATAGATAAACACAGAATAAGCCTTCATTTAAGTTTGTTCCCTTACCTTTGTAATGTTGTTAGGGTTTTTTGAAAAATGTTTTTTGAGTATGGTATCTTTCTAAACTAGAAGATTCCATTCTGAAACAGTACTGTTGTGTATAAAGGGTCATTATTCAAATCCTGGTCTTTCCTTCAGTGAGAATATTATACTGTCTATTTATAGTGGCTCAGAGTTATGTGGTAAAATGTTTTGAATATTATATTTTCTGATATTTTCTCTCAGTTTCAATAATTCTGCTTCTAAGTGAATTAGGGTACTTAAGCCATAAATGATTGAAATGTGAGGTTTACATTGGGATTTCCTTTCCTTTCATGATTTAGTTTTCAGATTCGATTGTCTACTATTTAGTTGTATAAGGACCATCCAGCTTCAGTGTTATTTTGGGGCATTCCTTATTCAGTTTTCAAGGTTATAGAGCTGACAACCTTTAGCCCAGAGGAGGTGACATTTGCTTTGAACTCTGTAGTGAATCTTTTTAGAGATATTTACCTATCTTATTTTTATATCATGCTGTAACTAAAAACTACATCAGGTATTTTAACGATAAATTGTAATTGCAAAGCATCAGTGTAATGATGGTTTTGATATCTTTTTCTTAATGGAACACTGAAGGTTATGAATAAAACACCAATAAAGTGCCAGTGTTATTGATTGTAGATGGAGGTATCTGTTGGATAAGTGCTTCCCAGCTTATTGTTCTTTAATGTAGTTCCTGAATTTTATAACCTTTGAAATTAAAAATAACTTGAAAAAAGCAAATAATTGCTGTATCATTTTAAAGTTTTATGGTGTTGATGGAATCTGTTGCCATGATAGAATGCCTTGTTATGGAGCGTAGACTGTGGGAGGGCCTCCTGATTGTGTCACAATCCCAACTTTACCATATTCTAGCTGTGCAGCCTTGCGCTGTGTGACCAAGCTTTCTATGCCTCTGGTTGCTCATCTGTAAAATGGGGATAAGGACAATACCTTTATCATAGGATTATTATAAGGGTTAAGTTAGTTAATATATATGAAGTGTTTTCGAATAGCCTTTGTAAATGTAGCTGTATAAAACTTTCCTTTTTACTGAGCTAGAGAAATAATATTTATATAAGATTGAGAATGTATCTTTTATAAAGGTAAGCCAAGTAGTACTAACATATTCTCTACCATATTAGGAATGTATTTTAACATTATTATGCTACTTTGCACCACTATGGGCAATATTATTTTTAAAAAATATGACAAAGATGTTTCAGAAGTAGTAGATTTTATGCTTCAGTGTATACAAAATTATAGATAAACCCTGCTAAAATGGAGGGTATTTCCAGTAAATTTAATATTCTGGTTTAGGCAAATGCCTTCTTTAAAAGGTGAACTTTGTTACTATTTAAGAACTTAAGACATGGTCACTTAGAGGTACATATGACCTTGGCAAATTCATGTTATTTTAACCTCTCCTGATTATTAATCCCACTTAACCTTAGTTTTCTTCTCTGTTTCTTGGAGTTAATGTAAGAAGTAAGTATGGTGTTAAAAGTATTAACAGAATCCCTGGTAGTTTGTAGAATGCCTATATTAAGAGCTCAATAAAATGTTATCCTCAGTTATTCTTCAAATAGTAAGTAAACCCAAAACAAAAGTTTGAACTGTGGTTTGAAGTAGCTTGTCTAATTTATTTTCATTGTTTTTATATAGTATTTAACTAGAAATCCCTTCTTACTTTATTGCTTTTGTAAGTTTTGTATGATTCTGAACTCTAAATATGTTCCCTGAAGCCAGACTGTCTGGGTTCGAATACTGGCTTCACTACCTATGAGCTCTATGACCTTGTGTCAAGTTATTTAGCATTGCTGTGACTTAGTTTCCTTACAAGTAAAATGGGGATGATAATATACTTATGTTGTGGAGTTGTTGTGAGAATTAAATGAATGTGTATGTGTAAAGCACTTAGAAAGCACTAGCTAGAGGGACTTGTTATTTTATTGAGGATCCTAATGACCTCTGGGATATCTTACTATTAAATATTTTACCCTTATGAGTTTGGCGAATAAATGCCTTAAAGAACTTAGACTAAGAGAGAAGGGCTTTAGAGCAAAATGAGACATCGATGTGTAATATTCCTGCATAAAGTAATTCTGTACACTCATATTCTATTTTTGATAGGTTAGGGGGGTTTATAGCATGAGACTTTTGTAGGAATTAAAGAGGTATGTGAACTTGACCTCATCAGTAATAGCACAAGCAAACATTTATGCAGGGTCAAGCATTATATTAGGAAATGGAACACAGTCCCCACTCAAAATGTGAGCAGCTTTCTAGTACCAAAATGAAAACAGGAGACAGGTTGTGAAGTGCCAAATAAGTGGTACCGGAAGATGGTGGAGATTTAGAAGCAGGAGCAAAAACTGTCTTTATTTGAAGAGGGCCAGGGTGAAAAGTCAGGAAAAAAGGCATTCCAGATTGATGACTGCAGTGTTTATGGTGTTTTTTGTAGACTACCTTAGAGAGGTGGAATATAAGATTTTAGAGAGGAAAGGTATAGGTAAGTAGGTTAGGAAATGGTCGATTGTGTTCTCTTCTATTAGTCTTTCACCCACTTAAGGTTTTAAATGAGAACCTAGTGAATGCTAAATACGGTCCTATGAATGGAAGAGACAAGAAGTGAACATTAACTCACTCTACTTGCAGGCTTAGGGGCAAGACAGTCTTTAAAAAAGTAATTGCTGTAATGTGATGACTATTACGATAACTGAAATAGTTATGAGAGTATGTACCAGGGAACCTGACCTAGTATACAGGGAAGGACTTCTGGAGGAAATTACTTTTAAATTGAGGGCTGAAAGTGGAGTAGAAATTAGCCAGGAGAGTGGTAGAGGATCTTAGGGGGTGAGGGATAAACGAACAGCAGGTTGGAGGAAGATGAGACGTTGCAGCATGGGAGCAGGGGAGGGCTGTCATTTGAAGAACTGAAAGAAGTCTAATGGAGAACCAGTGACTTGATAAGCTTAAGAAATAAGTAGGTGCTTCAAGCGCATTGTAAACCAAGTTTAAAAGATTTAGTGTTACACTAAGAGCTGTGAGATGCCAGTAAAAGATTTTAAACTGAGAGAGACATCAGATCTTTTAAAATTTGAAGTTCGTCATGTACATATATGTCAATAACATAAGATATAAGCAATAATAAGCCTCTTGGATTCCAAGAAATACTTTTTGTGTAATCTGCACTCTAGCCCTGTATTCAAATTTGTTTCTGAGATAAATTTTAAATGTCAAAGCCAATAAAATACTCTAAGTTGCTGCTTTCTTGAACCATAGAATAGCTGATGCCTTTGACCACCTTTAAAAGACAAATCCAGTTAGTACTTCTGTGAGTCAAATACTAACTGATAAATTCAGCCTTGATGTTACTCTCTCAGAACTTGTCAGATGTTGACATTGCATGGACTCTTGAGTCCAGCAGCTAGGAACTAAGCCAAGGTGAACCAAATTAGTAGCAAGCCTTCAGGATTGGGTAGAAAGTTACCCACCCTCTGGAAATGAGTAATTGGTATGCCTTCTCATTGCGTGTACTTTGTAATTGCACATGTGGTTTATGTGATCTGGTAAAGCGTCTCAACTACTTTGAGTTAGTATATTTTGTAATAGCAAACAATTGAAATTGATAAACATTATTTTGGGTTTGTGTGTAACTTCAAAAGGCGATTTGTAAATTTTGTTGATTTTTGTTTTGATGAGTAAATTCATAAATTTTCAATCAAGTTACTTCTGAGGAAGAAATACTAGTTTGTCAGTTTTTATCCAAAGTTTAGTTTCTAAATATTTTCGATAACTGGTTGATCCCTCTGCTTTAGTTGGTTAGTCATTCAAGCTTTAATTTGAAACAGTAATTTTCGTATGCTAAAATTAAATGAGGTAGTTTAATTGAAATATATTGGCAGTTTGAATGATATGTAAACTTTGAAGCAGTTTACCGCTTCTACTAACAGATTAAAAACATTTTTAGTGGGGGAGGGTATAGTGATAGATAAGTGATAGAGTGCATGCTTAGCAGGTGCAAGGTCCTGGGTTCAATCCTCAGTACCTCCTCTAAAAATAAATAAACAAACCTAATTACTCCCCCTCCCCCGAGAAAAAGAAAAAAAAATTTTAAAATAAGACATCAGGTAGGTTTTTCAATATTTCACAGTTTCAGTATGCACATGTTTCAGTTATCATGGTTTAGTTAACACCAGTTATCCAATAACATGATTCACATTTTAGTTACCACCATACTTTGATTAATTGCATAAAGTGCCAACTTTGCTTCTAGCTCTTCAGTCCACAGTTCACTATGTCAGTAACAGATGTGCATCGTGATCAGTGACCAGTAGTCACTTATTTCAAAGTCTGTCCATAATTAGTTGCTGTATCTTTGTGTCCATGCATAGACAACAGACTGTAGTTTTGTTGCCTCTGTCTCCCACTGATTAACTCCTGAGATATTTGGTACAGATGGATAATTGAAAGAGGGAATTGGTCAACAAAGATAAATGTGCAGCAAAGAAACAAAAAGTGATGATGCTAGAAGTGAAATTTGAATCAAACATAAATGGAGCCTTAGAAGAAACCGCTCACCATGGGAATGTGAGTGCTGTCGCCATTTGACTCTAGATACACAGCCAAAGGAATTCAGTGATGGCAGGTTTATTGACATAATTGAGAAAAGTGGTATGACAGAAAAACACAAAGATGTCTCAAAGAAACTGACATCAGTAAAAAACTTCATGTTAAAGGAACTCTTAGCATTGAAGATACAGAGGATAAAATATTGGAAAATGATCCAAACTTAGGAGTATGACAATTTGCCAAGGCATAGACAAGTAGTATTCAAACTATTCTTGGTAAGTTTTTACAAAGAAATGTAACACTTCAGTTCTCGTTGTTTCTAATGTTTTAAACTACAATGCAGTAAATTCCAGCTTTACTATTTTTTCATTTCCCTTTGTACACTTAAAAGTTTTTAATGTTTGACAAAAACTTTTGTCATGAATAATTATAATTTTCCACTTTAATTATTGTGAGGTTTTTTTACATGTTGCCTGTATGTATTACAAATATTTATTGGTTTAATTCCATGTGCCAGGCCCTGGGCTCTGCCTTTAACATACAAAATAAAGATCAAAGACCCTTTCTAGTGGAGAGAGTTAGTTACATAAAATTAATTATAAGGAAGTGCCTCCTTGAGTGGATACCTTTCTCTTCCCCCCTCATGTATTATTCAGAGTGCTAATATGTACCTGTTTTAACAGGAGGGTCATTGAAGACTCAGAGATGGTAATATTTGATTTTTGTGTAGGATTTTGTCATCCTGATGATGGGGAAAGAGAAAGGTATCTACTCAAGGAGGCGTGAAACACCAGGTTCCACAAACTAGGCGAGAGCATGAGCTGTACCTGGGGATAGCTAAGCAATGTGGGGCACAGATAGTTCAGATCTGTATAACCTTTTAAGAGATTATAAGACACTTCAGCAACAAAGGACCTGGAAAGTTAAGTTGAGAAGTAAAATGATCCAGTTTGCATTTTAAAAGATAATTCAGTTTTGTAAAAAGTGGGATTATAGTAGTTTAGGTAAGGGATATTGAGGACCTGAACTAAAGCAATGTAAAAGGAGAGGAAGGGACAAATTTAACAGCTGTTGGGGAGGTAGACTCTGTAGTACTTGGATCGGAAAAAAAAAATGAGGGAGAAGAAATAACCTAGGATTTGGAGAGAGAGATCCACTTGTAAAGATTTAAAGCTTAGGTTAATGTAATTACTATTTGTATGATCTTGGTATAGTCTTCCCTTTAATTTGCTGGATGGGTGGGAGGTAGAAGGGTACAGTTACTGAGTTATGGAATATTTGCATTCTTCATTGCCAGTGTTGATTAACAAAAGAGTATGTCGGCTGAGATAGCTCTGGGACTTTAAAGCAGTCTATTTCTGCTTTTCACAGCTGTGGAAAGTCAGGAAAATGCTTCTTTCTAGTATACTAATAATCCTATTACAGTAATTTCGATAAAGTCCTAGATTGTATTGTAGTGATGTGGTGTAGAATGCACTGCTGAGAATCTGTTGGGGATTATTCCTCTAGAAAAAGGATAGTTCTGGAAGGGATGGTCACTCTTCAAGAATAAGATTAAAAATAATTGAGGAATTTACTTCTGGTCTCTTTCAAGAGCAATCTTAAGGAACAAAGGAATGACTTGGAAGGTATTTCAATTATTTCTAGATGATAGAGTATTCATTTTATAATATACTTTTAACTTATAATATAAAATCAAAAGTGGTTAATTACATTATTTTTCTAGATTGCTTCTTTGCAATTGATATGTTTGTGTTCTTCACTTACTTTAAGCCCAGTTTAAGTTTGCATCGTAGTATATGCATTCTTCAAATAGTTAAACAGCTACCAGCTATAACTTTTGAGTTTTATTGTCTATAGCTGCCATTATTAAATTAGTTAAAGACCTGTATAATATAAACATTCCCATCACATTTGTTTTTTTGTTAGTGAACTGATGAGAGACTTGTGTAGTGTTGGCTGGTTCCAGGCAGAGCCTCCTGAAACCAGCCTTCACTTAAATTCCACAGTTTCCATGGTTCAGTCCTTAATTATCTGGTGAAATACCTTATCTTTCTTAGGATGTATCTTGAGTCAGTTAGGTTCTTGGTGTATGGTGGGGGATGGAGTCCATTATATATAAATAAATCGGCATTCCAGTGTATGGGCAGTATTGGAACAGAGAGAAGGAGTGGTTTGAGTGACTGTTTCACCATAGCTCTTTGGGACCTTAATGAAATAGCAGTCTCTGATGTAAAGGTTTCTCTGTGCCTGGGAGGCAGCGTTTGTTTACCTTGGGCAGAACTGAGTGAGTATGAATTTAGTCTGAACCCATTTTTTTTTATGCCGACTATTGAGTTGACATGTCAATTAGATACTTATATTAGAACTGGATTCTGATTTCTTTGCCACTGAGGAACTGTAGGGCCCTCAACCAAGTTACTGACCGCACTGGGCCTGTTTTCCTTATTTGCAGGAAGAATTTAGATTGGATGGATTTCCAAGGACCTTTTCAGTTCCCAGTTTACATGAGCTTTCGTAAGCACCCCTGTGATGCTGGCAGGGGAAAGGCACAAACTAATAAGCAAGTTACAGTAAGATCCGGTGATGTCAGACTTAGGGAAGGTTTGTTGAAACTCTCACCAGAATTTTGCTCCCTGCTGCAGCTGTTTGCCTTCAGGATTGCTTGAAATCTTCCCCACAATAGTCTTCTTACCAGCCCAGGCCACTCAGCTGTGCGGTAGGAAAGGCAGGTGCCAAGTTAAGGAAGGGCAGGAAGGAAATACAGTCCCCATATTTCACTTCTCATTGCTTATTGGTCCCTCCGGCAAGACCTGGTATTTCCACTTTATATAATAATCTCTTTCCCACACTGTAGGTGTCCAGTCTGTCTTCTTTCTCACTCCTAAATACCTATTTCCTATAGAAATATTCAGGATAATTATCAAGGTTTTACTGTGAAGTGTAAATGAATTCTTTGTCCTCAAAGTCAATGTGTCTAAACCTGCTTCTTTTCTGAATAACTTTATCGTGGTTAATGGAGTGTTACTTAAGAATGCCACTTCTGAAATCACACTGATCCGGATTCAGATTCTAATGTCCGTGCACACTAGCAATTTGACCTTTGGTCAAGTTATATGACTCCTGTCTTTGGCTTTCTCATCTCTAAAACAAATTACAGTAGCATTTACTACTTAGCATTTTTATGAGAATTAAATAGGAGTATGTTAAGTGCTGGTACATACTAAATGTTCAGTAAACAAACCTTAGTGCTATTACTATCATCCATTTGATTCTCAAGCCAGGACTTTCTAGCTTTCCTCTTCACCGTCCAGCTGTTTTCTCTCATCTGTAGTTAGTAACATTAAGATGTGTGATTCTAATTTAGACCTGTCCCTCATATTTGGGTCCTTCTCATCGGCTTCTGCCTGGGGTCAGGCCCTACTCCCAGAATATTGCAGTAAATTTCTTGCTGCCAAGTCCTTCCTTTTTCTGATTCATTATCCGTAATCCCATCAAAATTACTTTCGTAGAACAATCTGATTGAGAACTTTCACTGTCTGTAGGATACTTTACTCTTAGCACATGTTAAAATGCCCAAATTCTTAAGACCCAGGTAAAATGTTACCTCTTCTTCAGAGCCTAATTGGTCTATCACATTTAGAGTTGTTTGCTCCTGTTGCATTTTATTCTTTTATCTTTTTAGCTCATTATATTTGTCTGTCCCTCACTTGGACCAAAAGCACCTCCAGGATGGGAATTCTTATGTAATTTTATATTCCCATGGCCTAGCTTAGTGTCTGGCATATAGGGTTGGTCCTTGGAACATGTTCATTAATTCGTGTATTGATTGTGTACCTGAAGAGCAACATTTCATCCACTTTGCCTCTTTCCTTTTTTGAAGGTCCAAGTGATTAAAAAGACAAGAACAAGAGGGTACATCCTAAAAGCAAGGAAGGGGCATCCTCAGCCCCCTCATCTCTGAAATTAAAGAGTTTGGGAGGAGAGAGACCTGAAAGAGTGAGAGTAAAAAGTTCTTAAGAACAAAAGATTATGTAGTTGAAAATTAAAATTAATATTTAATATCCTTTACAGTTCAATAAACATTAGGGATAACATTATAGAGATAATTTTTAAAACTTATTGAAGCATTAATTTTACTTATAGACCCTGTCTTTACGCATTACTGGCAATAACATCTCATTAGAAACATTAGAAGAGTTGTATGTTTGTTTCAGAAATTGGAGAGGAAGCAGAGGCTAAAACTCTTCTGAAGTTGAAGAAGATAAAGTGGATTTTTAAAACCTACAACTAAATTAATAAATCCTATATATTATTTTTCTTGATGGTTTAAGAATGATTTCCTTGTTGGGATTAATGTTTTCTTGAAGTAATGAAGGATCTTTAAAATTTTCAATGTGAGGATTCATTCATTTATCAAATGTGTGCCAGTCATCTGTGCAGTGTGCTAGAATGATGATTAAAATAGGCATTGTCCTTGTCTTCTCAGTGTTTAGTAGGGAAGAAAGATACTTTCCCATCCCAGGAACAACAAACAAATTTTGGTAAGTGACATTACAGTGTACTAAAATGCAGGATAATGGAGAGACATAGGACATTGGAGGTCTCATCTTAGGGTGCTTGAGAAAGGGTTCTCTGAGAACATGGGATTTAAACAATTTGAAAGACGAGAGGGAATTAGACACTCAGATGAAATGGCACGAGCACAACCACTGAGGCAAGAAAGAGCTTACTTACTAGATAGTTTTTGTTATAGAAAGAAGGCAAGTGTGGCTGAAACAGAGAAAGCGCAGCAGGTAGCACAGGATAAATGTGGAGGAACAGATGGGTCATGTTGTGTGGGGCTGTGTAAGGCATTTGGATTTTTTTCCTAAGTAAAATTTCCAGCAGGGGAATGACATGAATGTGTTAAATAGATCACTCTGGCTGTTGTGTGAAAGTGCTGAATGGAATCATGGATACCAGTTGGGAGGCTGTTGCAGTAGTCAGTGTTAGAGATGATGACCTGGAATAGGGTGATGCCAGTGGAGCCTGAAGTGGAGATTTTGGAAAGTAGAACTGAGGGGCTTGCTGTTAAATGTGGGGAATAGAAGAAAGAGAAGAATTCATTACTTTTAAATTTCTGGTTTGAGCAACTGGATTGATGGTTAGGGCTATTTAATAAGAGTATGGATAGGAGAAAATTGGGTTAAGTTTTGGATATATTAATTTTGGATGCCTGTGAGACATCCAGGTGGAGATGTGGGATAATCATTAAGATGTATGAGCTGGTGCTCTAAGCACAAGGTTGGGCTGGAAGTAAAAATCAGGACGGTGAGTATATAGATGCCTTTTAAAGCCGCTGGAATGGATGAGATATCTGGGAGCCAGAGTAAGAAGCACATGGTTCTTGGAAGGTGAGAAAGGCAGTAGAGCATGGGTAGCAGGATTGGTTTCAGTTAAATAGGGAGAGACATTTCTTTCATCATAACACTAAGGCAGGAGACTGGTACAGGTACAAATGCAGGAAGGTTTGTAGATTTGGTTGGCATGGGGGTGAAATAGTTCCAACCTGATGGCTTCTCTATATTCTGAAGTAGAATCCATGGTTGTCTATTGAGAGAAGGGAGGATACTCAGGAGTTTGGGGAAGGTTGAGAAGTTTGCAGTGCAGTAGAGGACAGAAGAAACGTGGTAGAATTGCCTGGTGCTACCTAGGATCCTGTTGTCCATAAATGTATAGTAATTGTTTCAATCTGCCTGGTTTGAAATGAAGCAGGGAAAGCCTTCCAAGTTTGGTAGATGAGTGGCTAGGTGGTATAGCTAATGGCATGATGGAGGAGTAGTTTGAAAGTCTTATTTGGAGGCCCGGAGGCCACTGGCCTGTGGTGTTATCAGTTGGCATGGCTTGCGTGCAGCAGTGTCAGAACCAGCTGCTTAGTAGCTTTGCACATTAGGATTGCCGTGGTCTTTACCATCAGTAAAGACAGGCTAAACTCTTGAATATGGTAATAGTTATAATATCTATTTTGGGGCTCAAGAGGATCCTAAAACAAAAGGAAACAGCAGAAAGTGTTAACAATGTTAGCAAAATACAGAAATAGCCATTTGCCAAAAACAAGACATGTGCCCAGAAACCATCTCTGTACTTAAAATTTTAAATGAAATGGTGCCTTTTTAAAATAGTATAAACTTTGCTCTGGGTTTATGGAAGTTATGAGAGTGCCAAATAATTTTGCATTTCCTTCCTTCCTGAGTATTATTTCTTAACTATGCAACTAGAAGGCTAATCCACTTAAGAGTAACATCTTATCTCCTGTTCATTTCAAACTGTTACTAATGAGTTACTTATTTTTAAAATGTGGGTACTTAAGAAAATGTAAGTTATTTGGTTAGCTTTCTATTTAGCATTTTCTTGACTTTTTATAGAACTAAAAAATTTTAATGAAATCAAATGCTTTCATTTTAGAAGCCCGTATCAGAATGGTCTAGTAGAAATTGGTGATCCTTTTAGGAAAAGATTGAATTTCCCGCTGTTATCAGTAGTGTATCCTTTTTCTCTGTGCTCATATTTTCTATAGTATAAGCTGGCTGCCATTGCATAACGGGGCATAATATTTTCTCTGCTGAAATATTTGTTTTCCTTTTGTGTCTAATGAAGTGGGTGAACACTGTGATAGTAAAAGCCATTTGGTAGAATAAACGCTAGTTGTATTCTCAGCCACCAATATTTGTATACTCTAAGTCTTCTGTTGCTTAAAATACACATATGATATCTTTGTAGAATAAATATGTAGCCACTTCTTGAATTGGAAGAACATTCTGTTACAGTCATGGGAGGAGATTTTTATTGATACAACTAACGTTTTATTCACTTGCAGTTTTAATGATATGAATTTGAGTGCCTGTCAGGTATTGTTATTTTTATGTGTAGCAGAGCACAGTTTGATTGGATCTATTAAATAAGGTAGGCCATACAGGAAAAATTCTTCCCAGAATCCTGGCAAATGTTTATTTCCCTACCAAGTTTTATTAAAGAAGTAAAACCTTTGTTAGGTATATTAAGCCATAATCTAAGTAGTTCTTCTAAAAAATTACTGAACAGGCTAAATTTAAAAATAAATAATGAAGTCCCTTTATTTCTTCCCCAAAGAAGGAAAAAAAAGAATTATTTCAAAATAGTATAACCTTTTCCCCCTTAGTTTTTCTCTCTGAGAAAGTTTGTATTTGTGGTATGTTGCTTTTCAAAATCCAGAAACAGAATTTGTTTTGCTTGCCACTACTCCTAATTACTTATAGATGTCTATTTTTCTTTTAAAGTCCAGCACAGTGTTTCTACACTCATTCCACTAGAGAAATAAAAGTGTGTGTTGCTATCTGAAATCCACTGTTGTGCACATTGTGTTTCTACAAGTTACAGTTGCATAGTGTGTTTTTGTTTTAATTTGCCCCATAGAGACCAGTGATGCTGTAATACACCAGATAACTTAAGTACTTTCAAGAGCCGTTGCATTGAGATACACAGCTTTACACACACACACACGCACACACAAATTGTGTAGTTAAGTAGTTCTGATGTACAGTTGACTCTTACGTTTACCTTGATGAATTATTCTCAATTGGTATATCATCTTTCTCAGGATTTTGGTCAGTGTAATATTGTTTTTGCTACTTCTGAATAGAATAAATATATCCTTGTGATATCCCTCATGGAGCCAGCTGTGTTATTAGTTTCAAAATAAGATACCTAGTATAATACAAAGCCAGAACCAAAAGAAAAAAAAAGATTTTCTAGTAGGTGGGAAAATCACTGCCTTGTATATTTAAGAGAGCTCAATCAAGTCTCTCAAAAGTTTGAAATGATATTGTGATAGAGTGACTCTCTGCAGAGGGGTGATCAAATTAAAGAAGGATAATAATTGGAAATGTGTTTTAAGCTTTATAGGCTAGTCACTATGTAAATAACGCTGAATATAGCTTTCCCTTCTTAAAAACAAAACTGAAAATACTTCTTGGACTTGCCATCCCCTCTCTGTTCACCTACCATCCATTATTCTGCTCCCCTCTATAACAAAATACTCAGGAAAAGTTGTCCGTATTCCTTATTTCTAATACCTCACTGCCCAACCATTGTAATTCATACTTTCATCCTGTCCACTCCCACGTTAACTTCTTGTATAGCCTCTGAATTTCACTCATGCACACCCCTGCCCCCTGCATTTCTTCAGAATTACTGGTGATGCTTTTGAAATCAGAATCACTACCCTGCTTAAAATCATTTTCTAGACCCACTCTCAGAATGGTTTGGGCTGAGTCCAGGCATTAGTATATTTGAAAAGTTGCTCAGATAATTCTAATGCCAAACAGGCTGAAAACCACTGCTCTAGTGGCCTCTCTCATACTCACAATAAAAGCAGACAACTTTATGATGTGTAAGGCTTCTGTCTAGCTCTTTAATGCTTCACGTCCTCGTCTCAGTATCAGTCATACTGGCCTGCTTCAAAGATGCTGGAACTTTGTTCTTCTCATCACTTTGTTCTTCTCTAGCACTTAGAACAGTGCCTTCTGGCACACAGTAAATGTTCAGTAGAAATCTGCAGAATTAATGAATATTTTATAGGTATTATTTGTTCTTGTTCTGTAGTAGTGATTACCTTATAATTTGAGAATGCTACCAAAAGTTACTCTATTTGAACAGATGTTACAGGCCTCCCATAGGTGAACCACTCCATCTTCCAACACTGATTACTTCTTTTGCTGTCAGAATGCCTCCTTTCCTCTGTTTTTTATCTCTTGGCATATGCACTATTGACACTTCAGGTCTTTTCTCATGTCCTGTTTTAGCTTTTATTTGGGGTATTTTTTCTCTCCTATATTGCTACTTATCCGCTATTTTCTGTGAGTAAAAAAGACTGGTCTTACCAGTGTTGCCAGTCAATAAGAGATTTTTCTCTCTTTCTGTGGGTAAACAAACTATTCATAAGGTATACATAATCTTTGGATTATATGTCCTTCTTGTCTATGTTTATTCTTGCTGGATGCAGTTGGGGGGCTCTTCCTTTGGTGTAAAAAACCAAGGTGGAATTGATGGAGAGGGTTAGATTTTAAAAATGAAGATCACAGGAAGTACCTGTTTCTGAGGTCAGTGTTTGTAGCCTAATTGATGGAAAGTTGAGGTTTTATTGGATTGGAGCCTACAAGATCTTCCTGTGAAAAGTTCATATAGTAAATATTTGGGGCTTTGTGATTTAACTGCCAGAGTGCAGGGCCGCCAGCCCCAGGCATGGCAGCTGGGAAGTGCTGGGAATTTAATGGCCCTAGGAGCTGGATAAATAGCCCAGCTTTCTCTTTCCTTCCTGGGATAATTTTAAGGCGTGTTCTGCATGATTCCTCAGAGGGTCTCACAGGACTGAACTCCAGTTATCCACAGCAGGTAATGAATCCTTAAAAGACTTTCCTCCCTCTGTTTCACTTTTCCTGATTCCCTCAGATGTGCTTCCTGGGATCTCCTCTCCCACAAATAAGCTACTTTCACCAAAGTTCTTATTTCAGGATCATCATTTGATTTAAGTCAAAGGAAACCCAAAAGATTTAAATCAGTGTTTACAGAACTATATATATAGTAGTGTACAGCTCCCCCGTCCTACCCCACCGGGAATACGTATTCTAGTTTTCTTAACGGTTGACATTGCCAGCAGAAGTGGAATGGACTGAGGTATGGGGAAGAAAGCGTTAGATACCTACCTACCGTTAATTCAGTTCAGCTCAGCATTACTCTGCTTGGTTACTGTCATTCTTTGCAAATTGTCTTTTCATGCCTTGGGTTCTTTATTCCTGAAGGAGAAGGTTAAACCATCTGTAACATGTGTGACCATTTACCTCATAGTATATAAAAAGGTTCTAATCTTGGTTGTCTTCCTATGAGCTAGATCAGATTTACTGTTTCTAAAAGTTAGTTGATACATCCTGTGCTGGAAAATAATTTAAAACGCAGAGTACTTACATACATTGTGTCACAATTAAGTAGTTGTAAAATATGTATTTCTGCAGCCAAACTTAAGTAACATAATTGACTGGGCTTTCCCAAAACAAATACTAAAATTTCAGAATGGCAATATAATTATAAATAATTACAGTTCTCCTGTTACTTACTGATTAAAAAAATTTTTTTTAGTGTCTGGAGAATTGAACATCTTTTTCCCACTTCTGATGTGTTTCTTCCATAATAATGAGATGCTAATTGTTTTAAGTAAATTTTAAGATTATAGAAGGTATTGCATATAATCACTGTGATAATTTGACTTTTTACTACCTGAGGCGTTCATGTAGCCAAGTTGTGCTAAAAAAAAAAATTTCAGATTAGTATATACTTTTAAATTTATCTTCTTAAAGTTGACCAACTCTTTTTAAACCTGTATTAAAATGGGCTTTCTATCAGAAACATGATAATAGTTTCATTTTTACTTTCTTCCCCTGGAAGACTTTGGCCATTTTTCTTTTGTTTAGGTATCATAAATATCATGTCCTCATTTTTGTTTCTTAGTTTAACATATAATTGATCCCAAAAGTCTTTACTTCTATTGCTACTTTAAGAACTAGCTGAACTTGGATTTTATTTTGCAAGTCTATTAACGATCTACCTTATCTGGGGGTAACCAAATCTTGTGTAAATTATACTCTTTGTTTAATTAAATTATATAAGGATGTTAAATAGTTTAACAGATATTAATGTTTTCTCTTATACTTGTACCAAAATATATTGGTAAAAAAAAGTTGGACAGTGTGACTTAAAAGTTATTTTTCTTGGATGGTATTTGGGTTGTATGGTTGGGATGTAGTTTTTTGGTTTTTGTTTTCTCTTATTAATTAATTGACTAATTAATTATTGAAGTACCATCAGTTATAATGTGTCAGTTTCTGGTGTGCACAATGTCCCATTCATGCATATACATACATACATTCGTTTTCATTTTTTTTTTCATTAAAGGCTATTACAAGATATTGAACATAGTTCTTAAGTTAGTAAGTGTTACTCGTGGATGTTTTCTCTTCCAGTCTCTTCTTTACCTAGGATATTAGTTTTTGTTCACTTTGGTTCCACCTTACTTTTCACCACTCCTTAACCTCAACATGCTTTGCAGCCTCACAAACTCAGCCTTCTCATCAACTTTACCATCAGAATATTGTCCATTCCTCAAGGCTCGGCTCAGAACTCACCAACTTTACCTCATTGGTAATCCTTCTATTTGCCATCCCCAGAGTTCTCTTTGTTCTCTGAATGCCTCCAGAGAGTACTGACTCTGTCATTCGTGTCTCCAAATATAAGCATTATTAGTTACCCTGTGTGTTCTGCCCTCAGCTACCTTGTATATCGGCTTTCAAGGGCAGAGTGTGCTTCCTCAGCTGTTTAGTATTTCTTTTGTATCTGTCATATAACAGGCACTTCATATTTAATGAACTGTTTATATTAACTACCCTGTTACTTAGTTTTCTGCTTATAATTTCTCTTAAGGTAATCTTGCTGATTTTTAAGTGTTTTGTTTGTTTGTTTTTTAATAGATGTGAAAAAAGATTGGTCTGACCATGCTCTCTGGTGGGAAAAGAAGAGAACTTGGCTTCTTAAGACACATTGGACCTTAGATAAGTATGGCATTCAGGCTGATGCTAAGCTTCAGTTCACCCCCCAGCACAAACTGCTCCGCCTGCAACTCCCCAACATGAAGTATGTGAAGGTGAAAGTGAATTTCTCTGATAGAGTCTTCAAAGCTGTTTCCGACATCTGTAAGACTTTCAGTAAGTATTATATAAATTTATCATGTAACTGTGAGTTGTGTGGTGTGTATATGTCTGATGACTGACATTTAGCTTATCTCAAGGAGTGGGGATTGGGGTGGGCTGTCTGTGTTTGTGTGCATATGAAACTTTTACTGAATTCGTCAAAGTTTTTATATTACTTTAAGATAAAAAAATGTTGAGTTAAAGTGGAACAGGAAGAGTCCAGTAGAGAACTTTCCTTACTAGAAGTATTTGATCTATTTACTATTATTTCTGATGACTGTATTTTTATGGAAAGTAGAAGAAAACAGGCATTATTTTCAGAGGGATGTAGCTGTTGTAGTGTTTCCATCACGTAAATCAGTATTTGATTTTAGTGATTCAGGTAGATTGTGTCACTTCCTTAACTGAAGGCCTGACACAGCTCCTAAGGAAATGACCATGAGTGTTGTCTTCCTTAACTAGCCTACAGTTTGAACACTCTTGTAGCAATTTTGTTTATGTTTTCTGAAATGAGATGTGGATTACTTTTGGCTGACCCAGTTCTGTTGTATGACAGGAAGTATTCAACCGTCAGAGAAAATGTGAACCATTGTCATCATCATGAGTACATAGCTCTGTTGTGGCGTAGATTTGCGGGCAATACTGGATGTTACTGTTTTGATCTAATGGCTCAAGTTATAAGGTTTTTTTATGTTTAATGGAATTTTTAAGAAAAAAATTAATATACAGAAAAATACAAAAAATTATATAACAGTTACCTAAACTCTGTTACCTAGAATTAGTAGCTGATATTTTGTCATTTTACTAAACTTTTTTAAAAGTCAGAATAATAGAGGTAAAGTTCTTGATTCACATTCTCCTCTAATTTCCCTTCACCAAGCTTCTGCTGTCATAAGGTTAGTGTGTATCCTTCCAGTACGTCTGAAAATATGTAAATACACACACATACATGCACATACATGTACCCATATCTGTGAGTATATATATCCAAAACCAAAGTAAGTTACTGCAATTGCTGTAACAGTATCTTCTTATGCCATTTTGTACACGTATGGAGGAATTTCTCTTTCATGTTTATGTGGAAGTAGAAAGTAGAATTACTGTGTTTTACTAGAAATTAACCACAGAAAGAAAAAAATGACTGCATGGAGACTAAACAACATGCTACTAAAAAATTAGTGGGTCAAAGATGAAATCAAAGAGAAAATTTAAAAATACCTTGAGAAAAATGACAGTGAAAGCACAACTGCACAAAATCTATGGGATGCAGCAAAAACAGTCCTAAGAGGGAAGTTAATAGTGATACAGGCCTTCCTCAGAAAACAAGAACAATCTTAAGTAAACAACCTAACCTACCACCTAAAAGAATCAGAAAAAAAGAACAAACGAAACCTAAAGTCAGCAGAAGGAAAGAAAGTATAATGATCAAGGAGGAAATAAAGACTTTAAAAGACAGGAAAAAAATTAATAAAGCCAAGAGCTAATTTTTTTTGAAAGAATAAACAAAATCAACAAACTTCTGGCCAGGCTTACCAAGAAGAGAGAGGACATAAACAAACAAAGTAAGAAATGAAAGAGGAGAAATTATAGCCAACACCACAGAAATATCAAAAAACCATAAGAGAATACTATGAACAACTATATGGCAACAAATTGGACAACCTAGAAGAAATGGACAAGTTTTCTAGAAACATACAGTCCACCAAAACTGAATGAAGAAGAAATAGATCATTTGAACAGACCAGTCACTAGAAGTGAAGCAGAATCAGTAATTTAAAAACTCTGTACGAATAAAAGTCCAGGACCAGATGGCTTCACTGGTGAATTCTACCAAACATGAAGAACTCAGACCAATCCTTCTCAAACTCTTAAAAAAGACTGAAAAGGAGGGAATACTCCCAAACTCATTCTATGAAGCCACTATCACCCTGATAACCAAAACCAAAGACACTACCAAAAAAGAAAATTACAGGCCAGTATCTTTGATGAACATAGATACAAAAATCCTCAACACTATGACCAGCAATCCCACTTCTGGGCATATATCTAGAGGAAACTCGTTTGAAAAGATACATGCACTCCAGTGTTCACAGTAGCACTGTTTACAATAGTCAAGACATGGAAGCAGCCTAAATGTCCATTGACAGATGAATGGATAAAGAAATGTGGCATATGAATACAATGAAATACTACTCAGTCATAAAAAGGATAAAATAATGCCATTTGCAGCAACATGGATGGACTTGGAGATCGTCATATTAAGTGAAGTAAGCCAGAAGGAGAAAGAAAAGAAAAGAAAAAGAAAAAGCAAGACAAGTGATTTGAAGTGGGAAAAAAAAAACAGACACAAATGTAGCCTTTTGAGATTGACTCATTTACAAAACAGACAGACTCACAGAAAACAAACTTACGGTTATGAGGGGGGAAGAGTGGAGAGGGATAAATTGGGAGTTCAGGATTTGTAGATACTAACTACTATATATAAAAATAGATAAACAACAAGGTCATACTGTAGTTCCTACAGGGAGCTGTATTCAAGACCTTGTTATGTCCTATAATAAAAAAGAATTATGAAAAAGTATATAATATATATGAATCACTGTTGTACAACAGAAATTAGCACAACATTGTAAATCAACTATACTTCCAATTAAAAAAAAAGAATTGCTGCATTTTAAGTGTACACATAATTCATTTCAGATACTGTCAAATTGCTCTCCCAAGAGGTTATACCAGTTTACATTCCAGCCAGCAATATGTGAAAACCCATCGCCCTAAGTCATCACTAACACTTAAATGTCAGTTTTTAGTATTTGCTTCTCTAAGTGAAAAAAAGCAGTATTTCATTTTAGTTTATGAAGTTAACTGTGTTTTTTGTCTTTATTGGCCATTTCAGTTTCTTTCTTGAATTACCTGTTTATATCATTTATCAATTATTTTTAAGTAATAAACTTTTTTAAGAGCAGTTTTAGGGTCACAGCAAAATTGAACAAAAAATACAGAATGTTCTCATATACCCCCATTCCCACACATACAACCTCCCCAACTATCAACAT